ACAGCCTCATGTCCTGTTAATAGAGTGCAAGATGCTGTAGGCTGCCTGTGCTGATAGGGCCCACAGCTGGCTAATGGTTAACTTGCTACATCAATGGCAGATTTGTGTGAGTCATTGAGAAGGGTTTGTAAGACATTATGGTGGATGCAAAACTTTTAAATGTATTCAAAGAGAGACTGGATAAGTACTTGAAAAATAGATCTCTTTGGGGTTACTGTATAAACAAGCCACATGAGGCTGAGTTAATTGATGAAAAGACTCATGGTCTTAGTGCATACTTAGAGGAAATAGGCTTGTTCTACTCTTAGTTTTCCTTGGGTATACACTTGGGATCAATGCTGAAGACATGACAGTGATCCTTGTCTGACCAATCATGTTGTTGTAATGGAAATTAAGGTATTACTAAAATATTTTCAGTGTTGCAATCTTTCAGGTTTAAGTTGGTCTGGTGTGCCTATGATCATCTTGCATCTGTTTTAGTCAGGAGCTAATCCCTAAATTCCTTCTGAGATGATAAACATCCCCAACATACCCCATGGCAAATTCATATTTGGAAAAAACCTCGATCTTCCTGGTATCCCAGATTTAGAGAAATCCATATTTCAAACATTAATTATCTTGGACCTTGTAGTAGTTCTAGGAACACTCCCTTGCTCTCCTTCTTTTCCTCTTCCAATCTTTTTAATGCAGTGTAACTAATAAGAAGTAACATACTGTCTGATCCAATTGTTGGCTGATGCACACATACTGGGAGGAAAGTGACTCGTATTAATTTGCTGTCATTAAAAAAGACAAACACAGAAAGCAGGCGTGATCTGAATTGCTGCTTCTGTTTTGTGTTAGTCTTTCAGCTTTTATAGCTCCTCCTCCTTTTTGTATAAAAGAAGCTCCTTCATATTTAGAAGTGAGAAAGGAATTTCAGTCTCATGTCAAGCAATGCTTGCTTTTTGAAATGAATATGACGTTCAATTTCAGTCTCAGAGGGTTTGTCAAGGGAAGAATGAGCATCCTGAAAGGAAGAAGAGCTAGTTCATGAGAACTCTAAGCACAGAAGCTTGCTTTTCTTTTTTTTTTTTTAATTTTTTTGAAAATTACACTGGAAGCTCTGCATTTTCCAGGGATTTAAATTTTCTTTATTCTTAGGCAATTTAAAGCTCTTGATAAATAAAAGGATGTTTCAGCAGTCATATCATAGAAACTATTAGGTCTGTCTTTCTCCCAGGAAGGATCCTGTGATGGAATGGTCAAATGAGCTGGATGATGATGGTGATTAGATCCTCTGTAACCCTTTTAACCCCTATCTCCTTTTTTTAAATCAAGCAGGTGTTTGTATCAATAGACCTTTTAAACTCGGGACATGGAAAACAGTAACTGAGTCACAGAGATGTACAAGTGCCAGACAGGATCTTTACATGGAGTAAGACTTTTCATCCTGGTTGATGATATTCAGTTTTGATGAGACTTCCATTTCGTGATGTGTGTGACTGAGGGACAGTAGCTCATAAGATGGCCCTGGGATATCTAGATGTTGCAGGTCATTCATATAATGTAAGAAAATTGGTGTATATGCTTGAAGGCAAGGGATGTGTCAATGTCTAGCTTGGCTTTGGCTACTGAGGTATAATTTTATTTTTTTTTGTCTAATTACTTTTTTATTTGGTGTGATGTATAGTGGGATAGGAAGAGGAGTAAAAGAGGAATTAGGATAACAATGAAATTGAAGTTTAGGATTGAGGGCAACAAGGATAGCTTGTAACTGGAGAAGGAAGAAAGCTGTTGTAAAGGCTGATGCTTTGGTAAATGTGAAAGGGCAGAAGGAATGGGACAATTCTCTCTTGTTTATTTTTTTAATTCTCCCTTCCTAATTTGTTTCATAATTGTAGCTGGAAATACATCTAATATAACTGTGAGGCAGAGAAGCTGTATTATGCTGAATGCCATGCAGTTAGTGGACAAGACCCACAGGAGTAACTTTGCAGAAGTTGGCAACTGAAAACATCTGTTAGGTCATCTCTAGGCAATACAGATGTTTCAGCACACCTAGAACTGACCTAGTTGAAAAGTGCTCTTTGGGAGTGTATTGCAAAGCTAGTTGAAAACTTTGCCTATTTTCATCATTATTGTTGTTAATGCATATGGACACTGTTTCCTTCTTTGACTATCCTCAAAATATTCTTTTGTCATTCTTTCACTCTTTTTACTCCTAAGAAATTAATTTAATGGAAATTTGGAGTTGTGCAGTATGTGTGTAGTCTATTTGATGTGGCCAGAATGAGTTAAGTATTAAAAACAACTGTCAGAAGCTTCATTTTTTACTCAGCCAATATGCATCCTTTTGGCAGTGTACAGGTTTTCTACTGGTATTTTATTGTTTGCATTGTGAAGTCAGAAACTTTTGGGGAGTAATAAATAGAGGTAATTTGAAAGTGGTTCACTTTTCTGTGCAGTATGTGTTGTTTGCTCCCCCTTAGAGCTAGTGGTCAAAGCATGGATTGTTTTTTGTCAAGTGAAGCAAGCATAAATTAATAAGATGCTGACCTATCTGGCCCAGTTAAGACCTGAGGAGCTGCCCTACAGTTGTTTCTCTGACTGGAAACAGAGTAGTCAAATATGGAGTCTACCTTAAGCTGCATATGATTGAGAACCTTAATTTTGGGGACAGTGATCAACTAAGTCTCATCATATTTCTGGCAAAACTTTCAATCTATATCACTAGAATTTTCTGGTAGAATAGAAATTGATCTTAGCAGCTCTTCCTTGTTGCTTTGTTCATCTCCACTTGCAAGGGTGGAATAGCTCTCTATATACCATGCTTTTTCAAACTGCTTTTTTATTACATGACCAAATTATGCTTCCTGCAGCAGCAAATTTTGTCTCCTAACTTAGTTTCTGCAGATGTATGTCTGATCTCTTCTCACTTGCTTTCATGCCAGTATTCTAACCTGCATTCCTTTTACATGTCTTTTGTGGTGGTGGAAATAGTCAATGAACTGCCTAGTCCAGGTACAGTAACATAAAGGTCACCATTACTTTTTCTTTATGTAAATCTGGGAAAAGTCCTACCTTTTCTTATTGAGATTTTGTGGGATTTTTTTAATTTCTGTGTAAACTATCAGGTCTCTATTATTTAGTTACTGAAGCCTGATGATTAAAGGGCCGCTAATTACAGATGTTACCAAGATTTCCTTCCTGATGTGAAATGACTCTTGATTTTCTCATGCAATCTGTGGTCATGCATGTGTTACTGATTTCATTCTTTGACAACACTGCTTCTTGAAAATTACCTAAATTTCAGTTTCCTTCCAAGAAAGAAGAGCAAAATGTCATCATCCTGAATTTTCCTGTAGTTGAACTGATGTTTTTTTGTTAAATAGCAGAAAGTTATGATTACAGTAAACTTGTAAGGATCCTTACACCAGCATATGAAATACCCTAAGAGGTTGAGAGTTTAAAGCTGAATGAGGAGACTGAATCTGTAAAATTATTATTTCTCAAACTGAAATAGTGTATGTGCAGAGTTCCAGAATGCCAGAATGTGCTCTTTTGATAATTCAGAATTATGACTGAAATTTCCTATGTAATCCTGATTTTGGACATGTCTGAATTTACTGAGGGCATGTTCTACTGGATGTGCACAGGCCTGGAAGGGAAGAAGGAAACATGATTCATTTTCACTATGTCATTGAGTCAGCTGTTCACAAATAATTTCATTCCTCTGTGGCTGAGTTTTTGATGTCTGTTTTGGTAATGTGTTCTGAGACATGTAGAGGAAGCCTCTTTAGCAAGGGAGAAGTGTATCAACTATTTCTACTAATGTGTAGCATTTATTTGGCATCAAGGTCATAGAGAGCTTTAGTGAAACTTCAGCTTTGTAGGCAGGCGTAGAAATTGCTGTTATATTATCCTACTTGTTTCTGTATCTATCTACTTTTACTCTGTATAGGGTTGTGTGATATGTGTTGCTGATTGATATTGATAAAAAAAACCTCAGTTGTAGTTTCACTCAGATTAGAAAATGTACCCAGTAATTGCCTGTACTTTCTACATATGTTTTATCCTTGTTGCAGTAGCAGAAGCTGGTTATTTTTGCTTACTATTCTGTCATCATTGTAATAGTGCTCAGAAAAATGAGGTGCAGTAAGTGATTGAAACACGAAGGAGTATTGTTCCTGGCCTGCCTGTAGATTTGGACAGGACAGGAATTTTAGATATATTTTTCAAGAAGCTCGGGGGCTGATTTTATAACTGCTGAGTTATAAAATCTTGCTTCTAACTCAGACTGTTGAGTACAAGTCAGAATGTGAACTCCAAATGCTTTCGCTTCTCAGCTTCCTCGTCTGCAGCAATAATTCCTCACTTGCATTTCTGCCTTCTTCAGCTCAGATGGCCCTCATGAATGTGGGAGGACAGTGTTCAGCATGGGAGAGTTTTGGTGTTGTCCTTAAAAAAAGGGCAAGGAACAAATTCCCAGGCTCAGTGGTGACAAGATAAATGGTGCTGGAAATATGTGGACTAGATATCAAAAAATCTCATGAAGTCTTGAGAAAAGTATAGTCTCCTACTATGTGTGAACAGTCTAGCTGAAGGCAAGTCCAACCCAAGGAGAAAGACTAAAAATTTCCTTTGAATCTCCTTATAAGATTGAATCCCATGCTTTTGAAACAGGAGTGGCTTGTGGGTTTCCCCCCTAAACAGAGATGTTCTATCCAGCCTTGTCTGGGTTATTAGCACGAATGAAATCATTCATTCTTGATAAACCATTTTGATAATTTTTGATAAACTCTTCACTTATCTTTATCTTAAATGCTGCTTGTATTTATTGAGGAACTAATAATGTACTCCATCAGGCCTGGCCAGCAGGACCAGGACGGTTGATTTCACCCCTGTAACTAATGAAAGCATGTCCTTGCTTACGTTGTTCCTCTCACAAGTCACAGTATTACCACCAGACTTGGCAAATAAGTAACTAATAAATTTTTCTTTGGCTTTGTATCTTGTAGCTGGTGCCACGTATATATTTGGGAAGAGTGGAGGTCTCATCCTGTACACCTGGCCAGCTAATGACAGACCGAGCACAAGGACAGACCGTCTTGCTGTGGGCTTCAGCACAACAGTGAAGGATGGCATTCTTGTCCGGATCGACAGTGCCCCTGGGCTTGGTGATTTTCTGCAGCTGCACATAGTGAGTACAGACAGGCCCATGTCTCTCCCAGACCTGGGTTTCTCTTAACTGGATATGTGTTTGAAGAAAACTGTTGCTCTAAAATACCACGTGTCATGTTCTTTACTTTCTGTGTCTTCAATTCTCATCAGATTAAACTGCCTATGTAGTTCCTTAGGGTTTTGTAGAGTTGCTGAATGGGATCCACAGAGAATTAAATCTTGATGCCAGAAGTAATTGGTGAGGGGGGAAACAAAACAAAACTCAAAAGCCTTGTGATTCAATAGTAGGATTTTTTCAAAAAGTGAAGAAACATTTTGCGTCAGTGGTAATCTACTGATTCACATGCACAGTCCTGAATACAGCTGAATTTATGGTGAAGTATTACTATTCTTGGAAGGCAAAGAATAGAAGGGAATGCAAGGTTGTTGGTTTTTTCCTCACTAAGAAAGTTAAGTGTGAACTGAACAGATCCTCAAGCTGATATAGCTGATGCTTGCTTTAGCAGGGTAGTTCAAAAGAATAAGAATTTGTTGTTAGTGCAACATGGCTTTGCGAGAAAAAAATAGACTTTTGTGAGAACTTGAGTGAAGGGGGGTTTAGGAGAGATGAATTTCTTGAGAAAATGAGAACACTAGGACTGGAAATACTTGGAGTTTGTTACTTTATGAGATTCTTTGGGAGGAGAAGAGGCTATTTGCTGTGGTTTTGTCTGGCAAATAGCCAAGAGGTTTACTGGAGACAGAGGCTGGTCATGTTACTTGATGTTCAGATTATTTGCAATATTTTATGTATTAATTCATAGTGGAAGGGAAATTGGGCCTTTTACAAATTTTGAATGAGTTGGAGATATGTTGACATTTCATGGAACCTTGAAGATGGAAGTAAACAGGAAGGAATGCCAGGGACCAAAACAGACCTAATGTGAGTGATGAAGGGCCTTAATCTGATACTGGAGTTTGCCTTATTCAAAATCTTGTTGAAGCACTGGGTATATTGAAGGGTGGTTCTGAAACAACCAGAAACAATGTTCTACTACTCAATGTCAGCATTTTAAGTGGATTTTGTTTTGCATCCTATTGTAAAATTCAGATTCACTGGAATGGGATAGATATGGCTTGAGCCATTAGACTGTCACCCATTATATGTCTTTTGTGACATATCCAAATATTTAGTTTGTTTTGTGCTGGAACGAAAATGAGACCAAATCCTGGCATTTTTAAAATGTAAAACCAGGTTTTCTTTCTTTCTTAAAAACAAAACAAAAAGAACCCCAGAAGACTGTAAAAGTGAACTGTGCTAAGCCTAATTGGTTGCAACTCTGTGACTCAAATTAAGCAAATGTGATTTGACATATCTGAGCAAGGCAATGTATATTCTTCAGGTGTTATATTATAACGTGTAAAATGCTCTCAATTAACTGGAAAACAGTATTCTTGCATTTGAGGAGAGGTGCAGAGAGATGAATTTATTAAGGTTGTAGAAAAAGTCTAAGATGGGATCATGTTGCTCTTGGGTGCCTTATGGGATGTTATAGAGAAAATGAGTGTCAGGCTCTTCTTTGTAGCAATCAGTGGAAGGAAGAGGGGAAATGGGCACAAGTGCTAACGAAAGAAGTTTTAGGTCTGCATTAAGATAAGTACTTGTACAATGACTCTTTTCAGCATTAATGGTGAAGGCACGTATTTTTTCTCTATATCTTGGTCTCAAACATTTACCTTTCTCAACCCTTAACTGACCATTTTAATGACTAATTTTTTTTAATTATATAGAAAATTTTGCTGAACAGACTAAAACAAATTGAACCTGAGACATGAGCATTCATTAAAAAAAATACCAAAAGAAAATTATGGCTTTCTCTTCCCAACCAGTTTTGGAAAAGAAAATAATGACAGTTTTTCAGCTTTTTCCCCATATATTTTTTTAAAACTACTCTTGCATGGTGCTAGTTTCAGATTATTTGAGATTATTGAAATAAAATCTACTAATTGTGGTTGATATTATTTCTAAACGTTCCATTGAATGCTTCCTGTGTAGTTTGGCTAATTTTATCCCTGAAGCTGTTCACTAGCAGTAAATATAGAACTAGTTCAGCTTTAATTTCTCTTGTTCTTTTGTGGTCAGGATGGATTAGGAGGATTTGCCAGTCATTCATGAGGAGCAAAGGCATGCTGCTGTGCTCTTCTGGGTATGGTATTACTGTTCATCATATATATATAACTGCCTCTACCTAACTGTTCAAATAAAGAATGTGGTCTGAGACTCATGCTGTGACATGCAATAGGAAAGCTGAAGAGGAACTTTTAAAGTGTTATTGACTTCTTGAATGTCTGTAAAACTTAGTTATCTCTGATTTATGGTTCAAAGAAGTAGAAACGAGCTTACATCAGGATTATTTTGGAAAAAAATGAAATCTGTAGTTAAAAGTGCCTCTTGAAATGACACTTAAAATGCAAGACCATTTAAGATCTCTTAGCAAATTGCATGCAAACTTTTCATGAGACCAAGATCTTTTGTAACTGTGTGAAAACTACCACATGCTTGTGCTGTGATAATCAAAGACTTTGTTCAACTTATTTTCTTCAAAACATTCCATTAGGCCGTTTTCAATTGTCAAGAGAAACAAGGCAGCATGGGTAAAATTATAATAGAAATGTGGGATAAATAAATTTTTTAATCAGAGCTATGAAAACAGATAAAAATTATAATAAAATAAACTTTGAAAACCCAACTACTTAGGCCATAAAAACATTATGAGAGAAAGGGAAAACACTGATTTTAATGTAATTTATTTTATAAAAATTTAGCATGTTGACTTTTCCAGGTGAGATTATATTTAATGATAATAGTAGTAAGAGTGACAGGGATTTTCCTGGGTTAATAAAAAATCCTGGGGATACCTCTTTTCCTGAAGCCTTTTTAGATATTCCATTCACAGACTCTCTTGGATGCTATTTACTGGATGCTCAACTCCTCACACTTCCTTGGGTGTTCTATTGGTGATAACAGGTGGCAAAAGCCACCTGATGATCATTCTTCTCTAATGTGCATTACTAAACTAAAATCTAATCCGAAAGTAATAGTAATGGCTATGGTTTATCAAGATCTGATGATATTTTAAAGATTATAAAAGTTGCTCATACTCTTCTAAGGAGACCTTTTAGTTGTTAGCCTGCTTTTTGAATATCATATATGTTCTGGAGTGTCCATTGTGCATCTCTTTCTATTTGTAAGATTTGAAGTCAAAGAAGATATTTTATTTTGAAGTTACATATTTACCTGTTCAATTTACAGTTGTTCTGTTAGAATTCATTTTTTAATTATGAGTCTTTCAGATATTGTGAAAATTTATTGACTAAGATGTCAGTTTTATATGACAAAAAATTACAGCCTCTGAAACTATTTTCTTTCCTGACTTAAAATGAAGTATGAGGTGGCAGCCCTGCAAAAATGGATAGCATACCATGTAGATCGATGTTGCATATGAAGCATGAGGTGTTTGTGTGAACAGACTGTAGCATATGGAATGAGAGTGCTGCTAGAGGATCACATCCCTCCTTATGGTATTTTTTTGTTTTCCTGACAATTCAGTCAATGCACAAGTCCAAACCCATAGCAGGAAAATGTCTTCCACAATGGATACTTAAAAAACTGCATGTTTTGAGTTGTGGGTTCAGTGCTTCTGTATGTTCATTCACTTTACAACCCTGCACCTAATTTTTTGTGCTTTACCACATAGCAAACGTAGAGATGAAATGGGGAGAGAAACAGCTGCAAGTGATGATATGTGTCATTCTTGTTGTAATTATGGAGACAGAAATCATTCATGTGTGCTGCAGGTTTAGTCTGCATTCTTTCATTTTGTTCTGTATGGTAAACTGCCATCAAGCCTCTGGATCTTCAGAATAGAATTGTGAGACTGTTCCAGTTTCTGAATTCCCCACAAGAAGGAATTTAGTTTTGAGCGAAAATATTAGTGATTGTGAGGTGAGTTTTGCTTAAGTAGACCCAGGCTAGGGGGGATCTGTCATTTAGCACCAGACTAGCATAGAAGGCTATGGAATCTGATGTAGCCCATTCTGATTTTTAACCAGTAAGTTTAGGAAAAAAAATAAGTTTTCCCCAGTTAGAAATGGAATTGCTAAATGAGAAATAGTATAAATGGATGAATATGAATGTGTACATTCAGTCATTTATTTTCTTTTCAGTATTACTCTTGATTGACCCAAGTCTGTGGATTTTACAGTTGTAAAACCAATTCTGGCTTCTCTCTATGAAGTCTGCCTCCCAAACTGCAGTGGCATGATATCTGAGTAGATACAGAAGCAGCAGATGATTTAGAATCAGGAGAAGCATAGACACAGGGTTGTCCTTTTCATAACCAGAGGGTATGTGATGAACTGAATAACTTAAGGGCTACTCTAACATAATAAATGGAGGCAAAATACAATAGGAGCTTGTGTTTTACTTTTCCAAAACCAAAATCTCTTTGATGCAAAATATTTCAGCCTTTCATAGGCTGAATACAGACTGAGCATTAACAGGGTTACATTTTTGTACCTTAGAAAGAAGAGGGTTTCCTTAAGACTAACCTGCATTATTTTGCAGGCTGTATGTAGACCATGAAAAAAAGCAAGTGATCTGCTTCAATATCCTATCTTGTATTTTACTTTATTTTTAGCTGCCTTTACTGATGTTAGAGTTACAGTTTTGTCTTAGGTTGATTCACCATGTTAGATGACCTTTTTTATTCTTGTATAGAACCCTAAGTTTGTTCAAGTTTAATTTTTGTGAATATAAATAATTTTATATACCATATCGTGACTGTGTTTACATTGATGTCTATTTAAAACTCTTGTCTTTCCAGGATTTCAAGCAGCATAGACTAAGTTTTTGAGTTTGATACAGTTCTTGGAGAATACCAGAAGTGGTTAAACAGTTACCAGTTCCAAAGTATTTAATACCCATCATGCCTCATTTCCTTCATGAAACTGCAAAGAGCTGTGCCCGCTTCTCCTAAA